GGCGCCCGCCCCCCAGCCCCTCGTGTGCCGTGGCCCCCTCGTGGCCCCTGGACCTGAGCGCCCAGGGCCCCAGGACTCACAGGCCCCGTCCGCGCTCACTCAGCGAATCAAAGGCGGGACAGAGACCCGGGGCGTGACTCACACCCGGGCCTGCTCTTCCAGACCCACCAGCCTGCGGCGTCGGCGCCCGGCAGGCAGGCGAGGCGGGCAAGGCGGGCGAGGCAGGCGAGGTGGGCGAGGCCTTGGCACGCCAGTGGCGGCGGTCACCCGGCTCCCGGGGATTCTCCTGTGCTGTGCCAGGTTTGGGATACGCGACACCTCTCGAAAAAATTACCGACAACTCCCGAAGCACACACCTGAATGAACGCCGCCTTCCAAAACAAGCCCAGGAGGCACAGCGCCGATTCCAAAACTGCTGCGGCTCAAAAACACTTTCTGAGCAGCTCACCTGGCGGTGTCTTCAGAGTTAACTTATAAATCACATAAGAAAGGTCAGCCATGTACACCCCTCTGTTCTGACCAAAACCCTATTAGTCCTAGTTTGGATCTGAATTATTTGGCCAAAAAGAAAAAAAAAGAAAAAAAAGCCAAAACGGATTAGTATCAACGAAGACTATCTTTTTTCAATGTGCAACAAGCACTGAAAGCCCCAGACGCTTCCGGCAAACGTGGGGTCATTAAGATCTCACGTTTACTGGCCAAGGCGATTCCTTCGGAGGCGGTGAGGCTCAGACGCGGGTACCAGGGCACAGGTAAACTCGTCTGCTGCCTTAACTCATCACGTGCACCACAAAAGCTGCGTGTTACTTATGTGCCTTCTTACGAAGCAGATTTCACACACCTGGCAGGCAGCAAGTTGAAACAGCCTTTCCCACCGAGTAACTGACAAATTACTCATTCTGAGTGCTTTTCTGATATACACAGTAACAATTCATTTTTATAGAAAATTAAATGTCGCTTATAGCTCATTATTAGCTCTCACAAAACGGTACATTTATTGGGTCTCATGACAAGTGAACGCACAGGACAGTGGCGAACACAGCACCAGCCCTGAGGGAGGACGGGAAACCCTACGCGGGCCCCACGCAGTTACCGCCAGCGGACGGACACGGCGGCGACCAGAAATCTGAGCACTTTTATTTAGCTATTTTTCCTTAAAATAAAAAAGTAGTTTACGAAATGTTAAGAACAGTCTGGAAGGCTTGCAGGGCCCGGTTTCAGCACGAAGGCACGTCCCTGCCCCTCCGCTGGGTAAAGGATGTCATCGGGCCACCCGGGAAGAATTTATTTTCTTGATGTCCACCTGGCTCAGGATCAAGGTCCCGTTTTTGAACCTGCCCACCTGTCCGCTCCGTCCACCTGACGACATGCTGGCCGCCGGCTGCTTCTTTCTGGATTTCCTACATTTCAGGAGAGAGACGGTACCAGAGCTGAGCCTGGGAAGGGTGGTGGCACCGCCACGCTGGCCACCCGGCCCGCTCCACAGAGCCCGCGCCCTCCCGCGCACGGCCCAGCCCGGCGGCAGCGCCCCGATGCCCGCCGTCCCCAAGACACGCCTCTGCCTCTACACAGAGCGTCCCGCTGCGGGGTCTTTTCAGGCTGTCCCCTCCTCTTTGCTTGGTTCTCACCTCGGATGTCACCTCCTCAGCGCCCCCCCACCCCCCGATGTTCTCGCCTCTTCACGGAACCTGCCAGACCCGGCACGTGGCGCTGGGCTGTGGTGTCGGCGTTCCCCTCTAGGGCAGGGGTGGCCTCCGTGTGGCCACGGCTGTGTCCCCAACACCAAGACACCTGCGTGCCTGGCACACAGCGGGCCCTCGACAGACACACACGGCCAGACGGATGACCGCTGGACGGCGCGTGGGAGCTCACTCACGAGGAGTCGAGCGAAGGTTAAGGCGAAGGCGTCAGGTGTGAAAGGGCCACTCGAGCGGGACAGAGCGGCACGGAGGGAACCAACGCGGCACGGCAGGTCCCGTCACGCACACTGGCGCCCGCCCCGCCCGAGCTGTCGCAGTAGCCGGCTCGGGGGGACGGAAGTCTGGGGAAGGCCGATCTCGGCTTCTGCGCTGGTCACCTGCAGCGTCTGCTCTTTGGCAAGGGAGACGGGACGAGGTCCCTAACTCAGGTCTGGGGGCCGCCGACGCTGGGCAGCTCGCCAAGTCCTGTCTCAACCCTAAAGGGCTTCACTGGGACCCAGGAGGGGCAGCGGGCGCTCCCGCGGCCTGGAAACGCCACCGAATTCAAGGTGCTACTTTCGGCACTAATCGGGTCTGCGCAGGTCACCCCGCCCTAGCACCTGGTGGTGTCGCTCACCTGTCTTCCTGCCCTTTCCTCTTCTTTCTCTTGAAAATATCTGTGTCCTGGGCCTGGCATCAGAATTTAAGATAACACAGGTGTCAGTAAGAGATACCGCAGAGCCAAAGAAGCAAGAGCTCTCTGATCAAAAGCCACCGAGACTCGATTCGCTTTTAACACTTTCTCGAGTAGGCACGTCAAAGCAGGCTCAGAGCTTCGTCCTCAGACCCTCTGAGGAACGTGGAAGGCCGCCGCAGTCGACTGAGCAGAGGACTACCCCGTGCCCCCCTGTAGGGAGGAAGGGGCGCAGCAGCTCCCCTCCTGGTGTGCACCGCGGGACACAGGGCGGCCTGCGCACAGAAGGCCATCGGAGCGGCTGGCGGTCCCGAACAGGACTCTGCTGTTTGGAGCAAACCTTGCACGTAAACGCACCAGACTACGTGGCTGGCATCACACGCGTAGCCACGCGGAAGGAGGGGGGAGCACGTGACCGCGGGGCCCCAGCCCGCCCACCGAGACGGCGCCGGGTCGGCCGCCACACCCACCGTCCGCTTCGCCTCCTCCCGCGCTGCCTTTTGCTCTTTGATTTGCTCCTGCAAAACCTTGTAATTCACATAACTCTTCTTGGGAGGCTGAAATAAAGAAAAGGGACACGTGTCAACCTTCTTGGCCCCGCACGGACTCCCCGGTGGCCCACGCTGTGACCGGCCCTGGCCCCTCGCCGCCCGAGTCTGACGACGGTGGGCCGCGGCAGCCCTCACCTGAGCCCCCAGCATGATGGCGCGTTCCCGTTCCAGAACTCTCTCCTTGCCCTTTCCGTAACCCGTGATCCCAAACCGGTGCACCTCCAAGCGAGCCTGCAGACACGAACAGATGGCACCCACGTGCACTCCGAGCCTCCACGGAAGGTGACATACTCCGCGGGGCCCCCGGCCACACACCGCGACCTCGACACGCCGTTTCTCCCACGCTCGGCTTGGACGGCTGAAGCGAAGCACCCTGGGCACAAACGTGTGACGGGCCAGGATCACACGCAGAGGCGCACGCTGAAACGAGCGGCTACCCACAAAGGCAGTGACTTCAACCACGAAGTCCCTCTCCCAATACACCGAGGAGCCACTCACCATGGCTTTAAACACAGATCACGTTTGTTTAAAAAGATATTGTAGAAACGAGGAAAAGTCGCCGATAAATACCCATTCTCGGCAGCTGATGACTTCCTCCTGTCGCTTCTCATGCATGTTTAGAACCCGGTTACCGTCACTGAGTGCGCACAGCCCTGCTCCCCACTCGCCACCGCGTCACGGAGTTGCAGTCACAGAGCCATCGTGTTTTTAATGATTCACGATACTCGAGCGAGCGACGTAGAGCGACGTGCTTGACCATTTCCCAACCACTGGACGTGTCAGCACGTCCATCTTTTTTTTATATTAGGAAGCTGAAAAAATTAACAGTTTCGAAACACATACCTTTTCTAAGTTGAATTCTTGTACGTCCACGTCTTTCTCGAGGAGACTAGCCTTGGTCTGAAAAGAAAAAAGACCCTTGTTAAGACCGCCTGCGGGTGTGTCGCCACCGCGTCGACCGCCAGCAGGGCGCCACGCGGAGAAACGCCCGGAGCTGGCCCGGGTGCCTCGACGACCGCCAGATAGTAACAAAGCGCGGCGCACAGGGGCCCGGTTAACCGCTGACCGAAGGGAAACGGACAGAAACGCCGTCGGGGCTCAAGGCTTAAGAGAGGACCGAGGGGAAACCGAGTCAGGCTGAGAGGAGTCGCGTCTCGCGCCACGTGCAGGAGGCTGGAGGGGTTCACACGAGGGCGCCCGGGAGAGCGGGGCCTCGGGGGGGCGTGAAAACGTGCTATTTAAACAACGCGCTCTCCCCTCCCACCAGGCGCTACACTAACGGCCACCCGAACTCCAACCTGACTTGAATATTTCTTTTAGGAGTAGAGATTGGGTTTATAATTCCCAACAGAAAATAACGGTGCGACAAATGCCTTCAAAATAGGAGGCTCTTTACATCCACAGACCCTCTGGCTGTGGTCACCGAGCCACGGACTTGACCGGGAAACTGCGCTGGCCGATCTGCGGGCCCCGGAGGTCTCGGGTCACCCCCGGAAGCGGGCTGCAGGGATGGGCGTCTGGGGCCACGCCCTTCGCCACGGCGAGACGTGCCCTGCGCCACGGCCCATGTGTCCCCCAGTCTCTCCTGACCAGGGGAGCTGTGCTGCAGCTCGTCCTGTCGGCCCCCGCCACTGTCCCAGGGCCGTGTGGGTCAGTCACTGGTGTTGCCACAGAGGCCAGCGTCTGTCTCCGCGTGGAGCCCCGCGCTGACCTCGGGGGGTTGTTACAAGGACATAAGGCTGATGACCTCGTGGTCAAGTAGGCCCCCGCCGAGGAACTGACAGGCTCCCAGGCACCGCCGCAGGCCGCTCCTGTCACATGGACACTGCTCTGGGTGGCCTGCACGCTGGGTGACAGGTCTCACCACGAGGACGAACGTCGTGTCGCAGGCACGTGGCCTAGCTCTGTGCTGCTGGTCCCGGTAACGCGCCCTCCACGTCGTACATCGGGATTCCTGCCTTTATCACCTGTCCGATTTTCTTCGGACAGCGGGTCTTCGGCAGAATCGAATGCCTCAGGGCGCGGTGGTGACGGGAGAGGCCGGGCTCCGAGGACCAGTCGCTGCCGACCCCAGCTGTCTGTCCTGCAGCAATAGACACCGTCCGACCCTTGTCCAGTTAGGGAGTCGCTGGGTAAATAAACCCTCTTTGTACAATGCAAGCAGCCCCGAGAACTTGTCGTCTGTGTTCAGACGAAGCACCGTGGAGGCCAGCGCCCCGGGGCAGACGGAAGCTGTCACACGGCTCAGCTCGGCTCGGCCGACTGGGCAAGACAAGCGGGTGAACGAGGCCTGCGTCGCTTCCTGCTTCTGTCTCCAAAGATCACTGAGTGGAACTTAAAATTTCCGCCCAAACTGATAAAACCAAAAACCATTCCCTTTTAAGAAAATTCAGACATCGTAGCCAGTCGCTGTGATGGATGAACAGTCGCTGGCTCCCCACTGCGGGAGCTGCTTGGAGCGAAGCCCCTCGGGGCCCGCTCCCCCGTGTCTGAGGCTCCCGTCTGCGAGCTGTTCGGGGGCGTGCACGGCGAGCTGTCACCACCTGCCGCGCCCCTCGCCGGTCTCGCTCCTGTTCCGATGAGGCGTGACCCATCTCGTCGGGCAGGAATCGCGTCGGCCGGGTTACTTCCTCCTTCACACATGTCTAACACGGGGCCCACGGAAGGACAGGGGCGCAGAACGTAGGTGGCACCGTGACCAGCAGAGCGCTGGGCAAGACCTTGGTAACCAGAGACTACGAGGCCAGTAACAGCCTGGGAAAACGTCTTCACGCTGGGGAAGGTTCTAGACCAGCACGCCCGTGTCTCTCAGGGGACAGGGAGCCCAAGGTGGCCTGCTCTGTCCCTGGGCGTCAGTTTCAGGCCCAGACCGGACCTTGGGCCCGCCCCACATCCGCACTCCCCCTGGGGTCCCTGGGAAACTCCGGAGGGTCTGCGTTTCCGAAAGGTGATACTGGGTGCTGAGCGTCGTCACCCCCATGTCCCGTGGGCTCCAGGGACCACCCAGGTAGCACGCTCTTTGTATACTGCGCTTCTGCAGTGACAGCCGTGACTACTCAAGCCAAGGGGGACACAACAGGGAGCTCTGAGGCCTCGCATCGGTTCGGGCCGGTTTCTGCTGCCAGATACACGTGCACCGAACTTACAAAAAAGACTAACTTGTGATTTCGAAGCTCTGGGGTTTTGGCATTACAGATACGGGACCGTGAGGTCGCGGCGTAAACGCAGGCAAACGGTTTACGATGAAGACGGCACGTGAGCCGAGGGAATCCGTGACACAAACCACCAGAGGGTGAACGACGTGGCGCTGGCACCCGGAAGCACCGGCCAGCAGAGCTGCTGCTGGGTCGCCACGTGCTCAGCAGTCGCCACGCAGCCAGTCCGGGCCGCAGGAGCCCCCCGACCGGCAGCGCGCTGCACTGGCCCCGCTGTCTGTCTTATCCCGTTTCTGTGCGGGCCACAAAAGAGGATAAGGGTCCTGGACAGAAAGCAGGGGCCGGCATTACGGGGGGAGGAAGGGCACCCACGGGACACGTCCCCAGAGGCCAGACAACCCCTGGGCGCTGTGCACCCCACGGGGCGCCGTCCCAAGCGCAAGGGTGCGGGAACCTCCCGGGCGGCCTCACAGTGCTCACTGCGGAGCGGCTCCGCCCACCCGTCCCCCACGTCACGAACCCGGGCCGCTCCGCTGTGAACCTGGACCCGCAGTCGGCCCCGGCTCGGCCCCTCGAGCCTGCTGCTCTCGCCGATGTGGCATCTCACGCAGCGGGGGCTGGAGCGACCTGATTAAACGTAAATCACCTTGAGCGGTCGCTCAAAATTCTTCGTACTTTAAGCTAAAATCCAGAGGCCTCGGCACTGCCCGGGAGGAGGGCCGGCAGCGCGGGTCCCCAGCAGCCCTCCGTCCGGCCCTGCGCTGCTCCCGCAGCCTCCCCACACCCGCGGCTCCTGACACCGCGCCCTTCAGGAGCGTGAGCCCGAAGCCACCTCCGAGCTCCCCGCCCATCCCACCGGAAGGGGGCTGCCTGTCACTCCCGGGACCCCACTGCTCCCTAGGAGCGTCTGGGACTGTTCAACCAAAATACTACTCGTCTGGGGTCTGCCCGACCCCGCCAGCAGACGGTCTAGTCCCTGAAGAAAAGGACTAACTGCATCGCTTGCTGCTGGCCCCAGGTCTGGCGAGGAGCAGGCGCCCAGCCACCCGTGGGGAGAGGAGGGAGCGGGTGTCACACTGCCAGCACGCCACGCCTGCGACAGCGTAGGACATGCACGTGTGGGTCAAACAACGGGGCAGGACACGATGGGACGGGACCGGGAGCCAGGCTCCCAGATAAACCCACCACCCGGGGTCCTGGCCACCGGTCCGCACACGGCCCAGCGCGCGCTCCAGACCCGACTCACTGTGCACCACCCATCTGGACGCTGGGTGCACCCCCTGCCTGCGGCGGTCCAGGCTGTCCCCGACTGGCCATAAATCAGAGACCCCAGGACCCCTCCCGGGGTTCGACCGATTTGCTAGAGCGGCTCACAGAATCCCGAGAAGCCCGCTCACTCGCGAGATCGCGGGTTTACCATAGGAGGACAGAGCTCAGAACCGCCACGGAGGAGATGCCCAGGGCCTTGGGGGGTGGGGGGGGGGAGGGCAGGGCAGAGGGAGCACCCCCGCCTCTCCGGGATCCCTATCCTGGCACCTCCACGCTCACCGGCCCGGAGCTCTCCAGAACTGTCCTTTTGGGACTTCATGGAGGCTTTGCTTTGTCACAGGGGCATGACCTCCACCCCTCACCACCCCATACACGGAGGGCGGGACCGAAAGCTCCCACGGGGCCTGTGACCATGTGGCTGGCTCTGCAGGCGGCCGGCCCCCAAGCAGGAAGCTTACCTAGAGTCGGTCACTCGCATAGTAAAAGACGCTTTGGGGGCCCCGGGGCAGAATGTGGCAAAGACCAAATATTTTTCTTACCAGCGGTCACCACGTCACACTCGTGACAACCCATTTCAATACCAGTAACAGCACGAGCCTGAGATCTGGTCACTTCTGGGCTCGGAATCAGCGGGCTGCTGTCCAACTGGCCAGGGTCTGTCAGTCCCCACGTGGTTTTCAAGGACGTCCAGCTGACTCCGCCACTGACCAGTGGAGGCCATTGTCACTTTGTCACATATTTTTGCTGAGTCCACGTGTCCCTGGACTGCCCCGTGATGACCCGGAAGCTTTCAGCGGGCCAGGGCACAACGGTGTCACCGTGTCACGCAGCTCCTGGCTTCGCGTTTTGGACCCCGACGAGTCCCACTGACGGATACTCTTCGCCCGGCACTCCCTGGGCCCAGGACGTGACGCGATGACTAGCGTCGCATCTGGCTGCGCTTCCTCGCACGCGCGGGTCTCTGCAGGGGCGTGCGTGTCTCTGCTGGTCCGTATTCTGCCTCCTTAGACACAGTCGCATTTTCAAAGTTTAAATTTTAAAGGGGAGAGAAGAGCAGGGCGTCGGGGACCACTGAAGATCCCAGTAAGGCCCGGAAGCCCAAAAGGCACCGCGAGCGGAGGCTCCCGGGAAAAGTCAACGATAGGGAGAGGTCCCCCCGACGCAGGCAAGACAGACGGCGACAGCCTCCTGCAGATGCGGTCAGAGGGGCCGGAGGCGCGGGCCCATGCGGGCCAACGCCCGTCCTTGCTGTTAGAAAGAGAGCCTGCCATTCCAGGAAGAGAAACCCGAGTGGAAGAGGAAGCTGAGGACCTGGATTTGAAGAAACCGGGGCGCCCAGACGCTTGTCAAATTCCCCAAACGCAGAATCACGCTGCAAAGTAGCACCTTCCAACCTTCGCACGTCGGGGCACACGCGGGAGCCGATGAGCTTCGCAAGGGACGCCGGGG